GAGAGAGAGAGAGAGAGAGAGAGAGAGAGAGAGAGAGAGAGAGAGAGAGAATATATAGCACTTTTATGCACTTAGGCTTCACAATAGGTTCTTGAGGGAAGGAATTCTGGTTACTTCACCAATTACTATGGTGTAAATACTTTCATCACGACTGACTTCAAGGTATCAATTCACTATCACTGTGCACAAGATGGGAAAATTTATAATTGATTCTCACAAGGCAGTACGAACTGGCCCCCAAACAAGATTATCTTCACAAGTCATTATATCAATTGAAAACTGGCATGCTATATTTGGAAATGCCAGTGTCCCAGACACATTCTTTATACAACTTCTCATTTATAGAGAATTTTTCTATCTTTGCTTAAAATATTAATATATTTCAGAAACTGGAAAGTGGGAAGGCATAGACCACTGAGCACCAGAAGTGAAGAAGTCGGGCATTATTGCAAGATAGTGTACCTGCCACAGAGACAGGAAACAAGTGGGGAGTGGGCTTGAGATAAGGTAAAGAGGTTATTCCTTGCTTTCCCATGATAGAGATATATTTTTTCTACACATAGAGTTAAGGATGAGGTGTTGAATAAAAGATTACAGTCTCTTCCTAGAAATGAAAAAATCATCCGCATGAGTTAGAGAAGCAAAGACTCTTTTTTTCAACTACAGCAATGCAAATCAAAAGCCCAAATAAGCAAGCTTTCTGGGAAGTGAAAAAAGGACAAATCAACAGGCAAGATGCAATTAAATATGCAATAGAAATATCACGAAGAAGAATGGCAAAAGTAGATAAAACAGTCCAAAACTCCACCAAAGCATAGAGAACAAAGGGGAGAAGGTTCTCATCTTAGGATGAAGGCATGCAAAAGGCTTTGAAGAGTGTGGGTCATAGGCATCCACCATGGAGGAAGATGAATCTATGCTTTTTCTTGAAACTTGGAAAGCTGTGCAAGAACTGAAGGCTCCTTTCCACACAAGACTTTCGTCCAGAGCTAAGGAACCAAGGCAAACTAATGAGCCAATGGATGGACAAAGCTCCAACACACCATGAACACAGCCAGCATCAGGGGTGGGGGCTGTCCCAGCTGCAGGCCAGCAGACCTGGCCTGGTAAAGAATGGAAATTGTGGTGTGGCCTCTCAGTCCTTCCATGTCTAGGGGTAGTGGCCAGTCCCCATATGGAAGAGCTTTATCCAGAACCACAAGATGGATGGCTGCCCCCAAATGAGCCATCGCATGGCACATGGAGTAGTTTGGCAGGAAGCTTTTGGGAAGGGTGGCAATTTAGTGCCAGAGCCTCTGCCAAAACAAAGCAACTCTGAAGTAAAAGGAAATTTCAACTAAAAGGAGAAAGGCTGAACTCAGGAGGAAACTCAAACTGCTATGTACCAGTTCGTAAGCCTGGCTGGACCCAAGTCCAGACATGGCAGTCAGTGTCCCAGGCTGAGTTTAGCTCTGCCCTCCTCACATGTGTGTGCATTTCCTGTTCCTCCCAGGTTGGGGTTTCTTGGAGCTGTGGCCTTGGCCGAGAGTGTCAGGGTCTTGGCTGACCACCTTGTAGCTGAGCACTCATTCTGTGCCTTGAAGAACCAGCCTTTCTCAGGTCCAGCTCAGACCATACAACAATCTCCTCTTTCATTCTCTTCTCCCAGGAAAATCTCCCCCAATAAATGATTTTCCTCTCGTGTCAGAAAGCCCAAGTTTTTCTAACAATCACTACTTTGGCACCACTTTGAATTTTCTATGTCTTTGCAAAGACACTTAAAGGAGTTTATTTATTTGCTTAGAGCTCTGTAGGGCCCAGAGACCTGTCAGCGACCTCGTGGCCTCAGCTGTATTACGGGACAGATAGGAAGACCATATGGTTTGCTCAGGAAGTAGCACTGCATTGAAATACAATAAGAAGGAAGGTCATTGCAAGTTAAAGATGAGAAATGCTGCATGATTTTAGGGAGTAGAAGAGTTACAGAGGAGGGAAAGAAGCTAGGAGCTAGAGCTTGGATTTGGGATCGCAGAAACAGAGGCAAGTGCGTGTACAGGGCTGTGACCTCAGTTACACAAAACCAGCAACTGCAGGTCCCATTACTGGCTCAGAATGGCCTAGAGAGAAAGCAGCAATGTAATCTCTTCTCCTCACTTGATAGGCTCAGAGCGAAGTTAATTCAACCAGACATGACAGAACTGTGAAGATCTGTTTGTTCTTAGTGGAAGTAAGAATGGAGAGAAGGAAAGTGAGTATTTCAGACCGCAGCGGTAGGTCTAGAAAGTCTGTGGGGCTCCCAGGAGTAAGGCACCTGGCTTTTCACCCTGTCCTTTCACGTCTGCCTCTCTGCAGTCAGGGCGGTGACATCGTCACCCATGGCCATGTCTGCCTCAGTCACATTGGTGGGCTGAGCAATCCAAACAGATACTGAGTGAGATTTGAGTTTGAGATTCTTACAAGCTCCCCACTGATGCCCATTTAACCACTCCCAGTGCCACGCTGCATGTCACAAGGAAAAAAAGTCTTCTTTCTATAAAAGCATGCTCCTTCCCTTTCAGTAGACATAACTGGGCAGCTGGGTCAAACACTGCCCCCGAGACTAGGGACCTTCCTCTTTAACCTTTGTCTAGATGTCCTGCCTGACCCAGGCCCAGAAGAATTTCCTAATAATGTTTCCTCCTCGGGGCTTCTACTGTTCCAGAGAAAGTGACAGAGGAAATAAAATGAAGCAGCTCTGCTGGAATAGCTTAATGGGACTGTCTTCTGACTCCCCTTCTCTGCCCCAGATCAGGGATGTTAATTCCTCTGCGGCAGGCATGCCTTTTAGTTTAGGACCTGAGAGTGAGAGGAGACAGTTATCCTGTCCCTCATGCCACTCAGCTAGGGTACAGCCCCTTCAGAGAATCCTGGCCACCAGTCTGTCCCCAGCTCCTTCTGAGTTGATCAGAGGGAATGGGTTATGGTAGTTAGACCTGTGACAACTACTGCTCTGCAAAGCCTGGGAGACCCATTGCTTTTATTGGGTATGTTCTGAGTATATGGAGGAACATTATGTAGACTATTCATAGCTCAGATGCTTTTAATATATTAGCACTTAATGGAGCTAGACAGTTAAAGGAAAAATACAAATCTAAGAACACGTTTGTAGAAATCGTGTCAATCCAATCTGTGGCCAGCAGTGTGGCTTCCAGGGGGGTGGAAAGGGCCTGCACTCCTGGATGTTTTCATATTAAACATCTCATCCTAACAATAACCAAAGTATTTAGAGAAAGGAAAACGAGAGCTCAGAGGTTAGGCGCACTGGAGGACACACAGCATACAGGCTGTGGAGCTTCCAGGGTGGGTTTGTTTGCCTCAAAAGGCTTTGTTCTTGCCTGAAAAACTGAAGGGTCTACTCCTCAATAAACTTAGGTCACACAAACTTGAGTTTGAACTTTAGCTTTCCCTTTAGGCCAGTTCTTTAATCTGTAAGGACCTCTGTTTTCTCCTCCATGGAAGCAGAAACAACAGCTGCCTCCGAGTGAGGGGAGCAAGTGTGACTGTGGCTGGCCCCGAACTGGTGCTCAGGGCAACTTGTGAGGGTCACTCACTGCCTGTTCTAGTTTCCTGAGATTACATCTGATGTTGAGATTGGCTCTGCAGTCCCAGAAGATAGACATCTGGTGGCAGTGACCTAACTATGAAACTGTGACAACATAACTTGTAAGAATTATCTGCATCAGCATCTGGGCTGAAACATCAGCCTGAAGCCAAGGTCTAGAGTAGGGCGACAGGGCTGCAACAAGAACAGCACCAATTCAAGGTCCTGTGAGCCTTTCTGGAGAGCTTGATTCTGGGGGCAGTGAGACTCGAGCAGTCGGTCTGATGAGCACAGTGACAGGAGTATGATGGTTGTTGAGGCAGTTGGATATGGGAGAGTGAAAGACAGGAGATTGGATGACCGATGTCGCATGACTAAAGGGACACGTGAAACAGAATTGCAAAAAATAGATTTGGCTCCTGCTTTGCTAGCTAAGGGCATTTAAGGAGCTTATTTAAGCTACTAGGATTGAATTCACTCCACTTGAAAAGTAAGACATCCTCACTAGACTAGGCCAAGTCCTGCCAGCACCCAGACAGAAGGCTGGAAATCTACTTACTGCAATATTCCAAGCTTGTGATGAAGGTAAAATGAATAGCAACAGCAACAGATTGTAGAGGAAATGAAGGCATGGAAGATGTTCAGAAGGCGGAAGTGACAGGGGTTAATGGGTAACTCCCCAGGAAAGGGAGACAAGGAAGACAGCAACCAAACTGCTTTTGAGTTGGTCCTGAGATACTAAGATGCCAGTAGTTCCAAAAGAAGGGATCACTGTGGGAAGAAGAAAATGGAACAATTTAGAGAAAAATGGCAAATAGATCTTTGTTTCTGGCTCTGGAAAGGATGCTCAGTCCACACCCCAAGTGAGCACTGCTTGTGACCGATACCCAGGTACCCCGTGTTTCACACTGGTCCCAGTCTTGTCTTACGGAGGAAACAGAACCTGGAAAGAGTGTGGGGGCAGAAAGGAAGAACTGCACAGCAGAGCAGGCCTTACCTTGGACCAGTCTCCTGCCACCAAGTGTGGAGGACAGTCCATCCTGGCACAGGACTTGTGAGTCGAGGCCCGGGGTCCTTGGCACAGTTCATCAGAGAGATTCAAAAAGCTGCCATCTGTTAACAGCTGCCGACAGGTGACTCTTCGGTTCTGAGTACCCCCACCACATGTCCTGGTACACTGTGGAGATAAGAGGAGGTGAGGCTACAGCTGGGCCCTTGCATGGTGGCACCATGTGGGTGCTGTACCACCGAAGCATGGCAACCATACCTGCTGCCACTCTTCAATGTGCCAGGCAGGAGGGCAGTCGAACTGGTTGCATGCCTGTAAGGCATGGGGCTTTCCATCTCCACATTTCTCTGGAGGGGCGGGGGATTCCTCTGGGTGCAGGCAGTGTACCTCCCGGGTCTGGATGCCAACCCCACAGGAAGCCGAGCAGGGGCCCCAGGTTCCCACGTGCCACCTACACCGGGACCCAAGAGGGAAAGGTGAATGATGACACAACATACAGGCATCTGCATGAACAGTTCCAAGTTCTTTTTGGACCTCCAGATGGCAAACGCTGTGTACAGGTGCCACAGCCATAGTACCTCCAGCAACAGATACAGTTAAAATACAGAAATGCAGCACTGAGAGACAAGAAGTGCCAAGGAAGTATGGAAGGTGCATACCCATTTGGACAGATCCAGAATGAAAAGCATCAGATATTTTTCCCATCCTGCGCTGCCACCATCTATTAAAAATAAAATCTTGGTTGGTTTTAAGCAGAGTCCCAGGGCAATGATGATTTATAGAGGTGTCAAAAGACATTTTAAATGCTTAAAAACACACTTCAGGAAATCTTCAGGGCACCTGGATTCATTATTTGGAACATCCCTAAGAAAATTCTTTTATGTTAACATTGGATTTATAACATATATACATATATATATAAATGTGATTCCTTTCCAAAAAGATCTTGGAAAAAATGAGGTTTTCTCATGAAATATCTGTAAAATGAAAAACCAGGGCAGCTGCTTTCAATCCATATTTCTAAACTGCCTTCAAGGAATAGTGTCCCAGTTGACACCCCACCAAACCATGAGAATGCCCATTTTCCTACCCCTGCAACATACTGAAAGAGGGAACCTAACAGAACCTCTGTCCATCTGATGCATGAAAAATTACATATTATAGTTGTTTTAATTTATGGACATTTAGTTTTTAATGAACATGCATTCTTAACTAGTTACTGCAGAGGTACATCATGGGAAAACTATTTTAAAATGCTTACCACATACACAAAAGGACACTGGGTCCATAACAGTTCATAAGAAGAAAAAATAGCATTTCATGGAATGAGAGTATTAAATATGTAAAAGTAAATGACAAAGTGAATAATAGTAATTCATACAGAGCAATGGCAGCAGCCACTAATGTAATATGATAGACATATAGTATTGACATAAAATATATATTCATGGCATATTTCTAATAGAAATGATAAGGTGGCATAAAATGGCTTGCAGAGTATAATCCTATTATTAAACATTTATGAATGTATGCAGAAAATGTGCATTAAAAATCTCAATAGTGATCAGCTTTGAGTGATAGGATTGTAATTTTTATTTATTTTTGGCGGAATTGGGGATTGAACTCAGGCCCTTGCACTTGCCAGGGAAGTGCTTATTCCACTGAGCCATTTCCCCAGCTCCAATTGTTATTTTCTTTGTCATGTTTTTTTCTGGATTTTATTTTAATGAACATTCATCATCATAAAAGTAAGTTAGTTCTCTTATAAATGAACATTTAACTAAAGGTGATTTTCAGTGTTTCTCATTTATAATTTCCTATAACAAACATTTTTATTTGTGTAAGTGAGAGGGAAATGAAAAAAATGGTACTCACGACAAAGTATGGCAAAATGAACAGAATTTTTATTCATGAAGGGAAATTTCATGTTGAAGATATAATCATGCAAGCATAGTCTTGATCTGAATATCCCCCCAAGGCACATGTATGTTAACATATGAATGCTAGGGCTGGTCAGCAGCTTGGCACTATTCAGAGTGGTGGAACCTCTAAGAGGAAGGGCTGGGTACAAGGTTTTAGGTCATGGGAGCACAGCCTTAATGGGAACTCTGAGCTCCAGCCCCTTCCTGTCCTTCTCTCTTCCCCATTGCCAGGCAGACAGATTTCTTCCACCCTGTGCTCTCACCATGATGTAAAGTAACAATGCAAGCCAAGGAGCCAAGTCAATCTTGGCCTGAAAGCTCCGAAACCATAAATTAAAATAAACCTTTTCTCTTTGCAAGTTCTCTACCTCAAGCACTTGCTATAGCAATTGCAAGCTGACTAATTCTGATATAGTATATATGCAACATGAGCTGTTGGCTATGGGGAAATAAAAGGAAATACAATTTTAATACTTAAACACTTCAGAGCTGGGTATGCTGGCATATGTCTGCAACCCCAGCACTCTCAAGTCTGAGGTATGAGGATTGAGAGTTCAGAGATAGTCTGGGGTACAGAGTAAGACCCTGTCTCAAACAAAATCTTGGAGGCTTTAAAATACTTCTCAAAGCCCTTGGTATAGCAAGAGGAAAAGTATTAATAAGAATATACAGTTAGTAATACATTTAAAAATATTGATGAAATAGATAACCCTTCTAGGGAATAGCACACATTTAATTCAAGAGAGGGACTGAACCTTACTAGATCTGTGGTAGAGTTCCCCCAAATTTTTAAAGAAAGAGGTGACTTTCATGGTTTGGCTCCTGGGCTTAAAGAGGATTAAAATATTTTAATGTATATTATGAAGCTAGCCAAACCTGAACATAGAGTCTGACAAATATATACAAAGAAAAAAATTTACATGTGATCATATATTCTAAGTCTTAAATAAAAGCATAAAATCTATTCTATAGAAGCAACAGGCTAAAATATTGCAGAATGGGTTATGTACTGCATGTATCACCCCACAATTCATATGCTGAAGTCCAATCTCCCAACATGATGATGTCTGGACAAGAGACTTATGGGTACTAATCAGGAAGACGTGGGGGTTCGATCCCTTGTAGTGGGGTCAGAAATCACACTCTGCTATACTTTACAGACAAAAGAAAAATAAGAGAGGGCC